CTTGACCGCTCATTAGGATTTTATTGTTGTCTTGAAAGCGAACGTATGTAACAAGAAACACCTTTTTGATGCCAACTTAAATAATTTTATCAAATTATCAATCACTGCCGTAATGATCAATCACTGCCGTGGCCTTAAAATTTTGCCAGTGGGTTTCCCTGTCATGTACCACCCCAGCACCGCGATACCAACCTTCATGCATATCTGAGCTCTGCGCCTTGCCGTGACCACTGCTGTACCAGTTTATGGTCGGTTTACTGACCATCTTGGCATTCGCCGGAACATGATTGCCGGGCCCTTAATTAATCAGGTAAAAGAGGCAAGTGCTTGTTGCAGAAACTCGCTTGTTAAAGCGCTGTTCAATGAATGATACTAATGTACATGCGCGCAATGTACATGCGCCCGTTGAAAAAATAATGTACATGCGCAGTGGTACCCTCCTGGGTAAACTGATGTAAGCAGCTGAAGAAAAGTAGCATATTCAGGCCTAGTGTTTAGCTGGATTATAGCTCCAAGCCGAAATCCGAGGTATTTCTCTGAATAATATTAACGGTCACTCGTTGCTAGTACCATTTCAACTTATTCCTTTGTCGCATTTAATTTAGACCGTCATCCTGAATTTTCTTAGATTTTACAAACTACTCAAAAAAAACTCGAATCTTGTAGAGTTAATCGAGCGATGTCAGGGGCTGCAAGGATTTCTGATATTCCATTCATTTGGTGGTGGTACAGGAAGTGGTTTTGCATCACTGATGATGGAACGGCTATCAGTCGATTATGGGAAAAAAGCAAAACTGGAATTCAGCATTTACCCGGCACCTCAAATCAGCACAGGTAATTTGACCACTAAGTTAACAATTTTGAAGCATTTATCTAAACTGTTGCAATTCATTACAAGTTTTTGCACATTTATACAAACGCGAAAATGCATGTTGCAAATACCCATGGTGTGTGCTTATGTTTCTGTGTGTGTGTCTGTCTGTCTGTCCGTCTGTCTGTTGGGATATTTCAGCTTGGCAATCAGGTGAAAATTTATGCTGAAATTTCGCGAATGGACTCCTTAGCCTAGTGTTATACTAAGAACAAAATTTCAGTCACGTCTGGGTCTCAATAAGGACAGACGGAATGCAGCGGAAAAATCGCTAATTTGGGAGTCAGAAATGTTGGAAGGCTGGGATTTTACAGGGGTCCGCGCACAGTTTAAAGTGCGGGGCACGCTAAGGTCGTTTCACCCAATAAAGGGCACTTGATGTGCTTATTTGCCTCTGATAGCATCAGATGAAAACTTATTTCAAAAATGTTTTCAAATTTCTTAGAGGACTTGATCCTCAAGTAAAAACACGTGAAAGTTTTGGTGTGAAAATTGCTAACTCGGGAGCCATAACAGCTGAATTTGAAAATTCTGAAAAAAACCTTTGAGACAGTGTGTTCATTGTCTATCAAAATTCGAAATTTTCTTTCCACCCAACAAAAGGCACAAGATGTGTTTATTTGTCTCTGGTAGCATCAGATGAAAACTTACGTACTCAAAACTGTTACCAGAAAGCAACTCTTTTTTTTTTTTCGGATTTTCATCATAAACTGTTCCACCGTCCAGAATTGTCAAAAGATAGACCGTGCGGTCCAAATGAATTGTTTCTTCCCAGCCCTTAAGCAGTAATTTACCGATTTATCGCCTTGTTTTACTGGGAAAGCACTGAGTTTATCTGTCCAATAAATCCCCTTTAATCTCTTGATTCCAAGAACCCTTCTTTCTATATATTACAAGTAAATTCTGCTACATAAAGAACTACAGTAGAAATAATGATGAAAACCTGATGGATCACAAACTGTCAGAGATTTTGGTAATTAGCAAATATCAGCTGTCGCTGGAATTTTACTTTTTTTTTACACCCAGAACTTAGGGTAAACGCATCTACGCAGCACAGCGCAAACTACTCTTAGAGTCATTTTTTTCTTTTTTGTAAAAAAAATGATTCCGAGAAGAATTAATTCGTTTGGTTCGGTCTGAGGATTGGTCAAGCAAAACGTACTTTTAGGCCAATGTTGACACTAATTTTACGTATTTCTCGCAAAAATTCCTAGACTTACTGTTACTGTTTCCCATGAATAAATGTCCGGTAGAGTTTTACGGATAAGTAGAATCCCAAAATCAATGACTTCTTAACAGCTATGGTCGAGCCGTACAATTCGATCCTGACAACACATACCACTCTGGAACACTCAGATTGCTCATTCCTGGTGGATAATGAAGCTATTTATGAAATATGCCGCAAAAACCTCGACATTAAAAGGTTTTTCTTCCAAATGTTGATGTCAAATACATCGTTTCATAGTCGGTTTAGGGCATAATAGCGAGTTAGATTCTCTTTGCATAGGATTTTGAGAAATTTAATTTGAAATTGTTCTGGAGGAAAATTATGGATAAGATAGCGGCGCAAGCATTACTGTCGTGACATTGAAGAATCCTCGATGCCGGCTCCAAGGACTAATAAGCTCTTTGCCTGGGTCGTCGATAGATTGCCACGATAGTTCAGAATATTTGTTCGCTCCAAAAAGATGATATAAGAATAATAGAAATTGTAGCCGGTAAAGCCAAACACAGTAACAGTCTCGAATGAGCCGAATACATTGACTTACTGTCTGGGTGGGCGCCTGGGCAAGAGCTTTGCGTTGGTCTTCTGCGCGAATAGATTGCGTTGGCTTGTCTTTGTTGGCAAAGCGTGATTCGTTGGCGCAGAATCGTCCAAATACCCTCAACTTGGGTAATATAACTCTTATCAATAAGTGACAAAAACGGGACATGAAACATGTGACGTGAACTAGTTTGGCAATAATGCTCTTGCTACATGAAGATTTGTGAAATAATAGCAGAAATAAGGAGGCTGCGGATGTTACGCCGGTTCATATGCCGCTTGTTGAATGCATCACTGCTGAGCCTTTGCTCAGTGATCGGCCGCCCGATGCTGTTACCGCTGGGCTAAACCTATAAGGAGGTCGAGGGACTTCGAATGACCGGCCGGAAATCTGTTCCTTTGCCGTTGAGACAGTGTGTTGTAGCTCAAGTCCTATGCCCATCAAGGAATGTGAGCAGCCGTCGCCAGCAGAATCATATTCCTGGCGCTGCATAAAATTCGAATGAGACGGATAAAACTGACACACAAAAAGTGCTCCTGTGCGAATGAACCATTTTGTTGTAAATGATTCAGATTATAAGTTCAGAACGCATCTGTCATTTCTTTCGTAAAGGTTCACCTTCTCGATAGTTACCCTCAAAAAATTTCACAAATTTTTTCTTGTTATCTTACATTTGGAACAGAAAAGTCACAAAATCACTGCAAGAATATCCTAAAATTGCTCTTATTGATTACTATAAGCAATTCTCCTAATACGAATTAATACTATTTCAGCCCAACCTACACAAATTTAAATCGTCTGATTGCGCAAATCGTCAGTTCAATAACGGCATCGCTGCGCTTTGATGGGGCACTGAATGTTGATTTGACGGAGTTTCAAACAAATCTGGTACCATATCCACGGATTCATTTCCCGCTTGCCACATATGCGCCAATCATATCAGCGTACGGCTTTTTTTTTTCTCAAAAATCAGCTTTCTTTTTAATGTTATCATTGTCCAGAAATTTATCGTGCAAAACGCGTCCGGTCGCTGACCAGGCCATAATGGATACCTATTTCCGTTTTGTGTTTTCTGTTCGTTTTACCTGACCTTTTCGACTTAATTTGATCTTTTTTCCTATTCTACCTTT